AGCCTTCTTAGTTACAGGGTCCTCAAGGTCATTTAAGGTAATACCAATGTGACTGGGAACCCAGCAAAATTCAACTGTCTTAAATCTGCTAGAGATAAGGAATAGCCAATATTAGATTTTGACCACCACAGGTTGTATGGGGGTTAAATGACTCCAGAGCCACGAGAGCACTGTGAGTCAACCATAATGACAAAGGAATGTTGACGTCGGAAAAACAGTTGACAATGAGCACTCAAAATTGTACACAGTTTTTGAGTACAAAACACAGATGAGTACACAAAATTGGGAGGTGAAGGTGAAGCTGGAGGAGGCAGAAGTCACACTGCAGCAAGCTCCTGGAAATATCGAATTACCTAAGTATTGGGCACAGGTTGAGGGCTACAGTGGTGTCCCAGGTTACATAAAGGTTCAGGGAAGAGTAAAAGCAAATAAAATACAATAAACAAGTAAAGTGAGTGAAAATAGCCGAGTGGAAAAGTTTGTTTTGGTCTAGAACAAAATCAAAGATGGCCGCCGCCACCACCCCCACTGAGAATGTAAACACACCATCAGATGATGGTTTCAAAGGATTCTCAACACAAGATATAAGAAAAGGAGGTGTTCTTGGCAGGTTAGAGATAATTGAGGATATGCAAAAGAAGTATGAAGAAAAAGTGCTTAAATTGGAAGAGGACAATGGAGCTCTTTGGAGTGAGCTTTGCACTCTAAAAGGGAGTATGCTTCAACAAGGTAAGATTATTACTGCATTAACAGACAAGGTAACAAATCAGGAGGAGCAAATCAAGGAACTAGTGAAAGAAAATGAGACATGGAAAGTGAAGTGTGGTGACTTTGAAGAAATAAACAAGAAGATAGACTCATATGGTGAACAACTCCAAGCAAGCCTAAGGGCTAACATAGTTAGGTAAGGATCTCCAACTGGAAACTTCACTGACAACTCACATAGAGGAGGTGAATAAAGAACTAGAAAAGTATAAAGAAGAAATAAAAGCGACATATGCTGAAGTTGTAAAAGAAAAAGAGACTATCAAAGAAGTGTGTTCGGAAGTCAAAACCAGAAATGACCAACAAGAAGCAGAAATTAGGCAAGCAATTAGGAAAGAACTGGTTACCAACAGTAAACTGGTACAAAACACTGCAGATAGAACTAAGTCCATAATCATTTTTGGATGTTTAGAGAAGGAAATTTCATCTAGGGTGGACCGAGCGGCAGAAGAGATGAAAATCATAGAGAAAATAGTAGGTTTAGGAGAAGGCTCAAAGGAAAATGTCTGTGATTTTAGAAGAATAGGAAAATATGATAAAGAAAAGAACCGCCCCTTAAGGGTGACATTTAATGGAGTGAAAAACATGATGGAAGTGCTAAGAAATGCCAGGAAACTGCAGAGTGATGAGGTTGGCAAATTTTGGTCAATAAGACAAGACCTCTCCAAGGAAGACAGATTAAAGCTAAAAATGAACCTAATTGAGGCAAAACGTCTAAATGGGGATAGAAATGAAGAAGACAGAAATTCTTTTTTTTACAAAGTGACAGGGACTGGAAAGCTTGTGAAATGGTACATAAAAACAAAGCAACAAGATCAGTAGTGGAAGGGGGAGTAAAGAGCAAAGGAAAAGGGAACATGTTCCTGAAAATTGTATATACCAACATAGATGGAGTGAGGTCAAAAACTTTGGAGTTGCAAGATATAATCCAGCTTAGGGTCCCAGATATTGTTGCATTATCAGAGACGAAACTTGAAGGAAATATAATAAATGAAGTCGTATTCCCAAGAGGCTATTCAGTTTGGAGACGTGACAGGAAAAATAGGAAGGGAGGAGGAGTGGCTGTACTGGTGAAAAAACACCTGAAGGTAAAAGAGTTAATATTTGAAAACCCTCGAGATATTGACATAATGGCATTGCAGGTCTGGAATCAGGATGATAAGCTGATAATTGTAAATACCTACAGCCCACCAGCAAGCAACACATGGACAAAGGAAGAACTGGATGACAAACGAGAGGGCCTCATAATGGTCATGAGAGATATTATTGTACAAGCAGATAAAGATAAATCACGACTGTTGATACTGGGGGACTTCAACTTTAGAGCAATAGACTGGGAGGCCTATGAAGCAAGAACGGAGGACTTTTGGACATGCAGATTTGTGAACCTCATTCTGGAGACATTCTTGTATCAACACATAAAGCAAGCCACAAGAATGAGGGAAGGAGATGTACCGTCAGTACTGGATCTAGTATTCACCAGGAAAGAAGAAGAGATTTTTGACATCCAGTACCTTCCTCCCTTGGGAAAGAGTGATCACGTCCTGTTAGACATTAAATATGCTTTAAGATATCATCTAGAAGAAAATGGGGACATTGAAACAGTTGATAAACTCGATTTAAGGAGAGGCAACTATGGGGAACTTCGAAATTTTTTTAATGAGTGTAATTGGACAGAATTGTTGCTAGGCAGGGAAGTAAATGAAATGTATGCCAAATTTTTAAAACTATACGAGGAAGGCACACAAACATTCATACCAAAACAGAGACGCAGGGCCAGAAAACAGGATTGGTTCGACAGAAATTGTGAGAGGGCAAGAGACCAAAAGACACAAAAATGGAATCAGTATAGGAAGAGGCCAAACCCCCAAACATACCAGCGATACAAAGATGCGAGAAACAACTATACAGCAGTAAGGAGAGAGGCAGAAAGAAATTTTGAAAAAGGGATAGCAGATAAATGTAAAACAGAACCGGGCCTATTCTACAAATTCATAAACAACAAATTGCAGGTAAAGGATAATATCCAGAGGTTGAAAATGGGAAACAGATTCACGGAAAATGAAAAGGAAATGTGTGAAACATTAAATGAAAAGTTCCAAAGTGTGTTTGTACAAAATGAAATCTTCAGAGAACCAGACACAATAAGAATTCCAGAGAACAACATAGAGCGGATAGAGGTGTCTAGAGATGAAGTGGAAAATATGCTAAAGGAGCTCGGGAAGAACAAAGCAGCTGGCCCAGATGGCGTTTCACCATGGGTTCTGAGAGAATGTGCATCTGAACTCAGCATTCCACTTCACCTGATCTTTCAGGCATCCCTGTGTACAGGAATCGTAGCAGACGTGTGGAAACAGGCTAACATAGTTCCAATCTACAAAAGTGGCAGCAGGGAAGACCCCCTCAATTATAGACCTGTATCATTGACAAGTGTAATAGTGAAAGTATTGGAAAAGCTAATCAAAACTAAATGGGTAGAACACCTGGAGAGAAATGATATAATATCAGACAGACAGTATGGTTTTCGATCTGGAAGATCCTGTGTATCGAATTTACTCAGTTTCTATGATCGAGCCACAGAGATATTACAGGAAAGAGATGGTTGGGTTGACTGCATCTATCTGGACCTAAAAAAGGCTTTCGACAGAGTTCCACATAAGAGGTTGTTCTGGAAACTGGAAAATATTGGAGGGGTGACAGGTAAGCTTCTATCATGGATGAAAAATTTTCTGACTGATAGAAAAATGAGGGCAGTAATCAGAGGCAATGTATCAGAATGGAGAAATGTCACAAGTGGAGTACCACAGGGTTCAGTTCTTGCACCAGTGATGTTTATTGTGTACATAAATGATCTACCAGTTGGTATACAGAATTATATGAACATGTTTGCTGATGATGCTAAGATAATAGGAAGGATAAGAAATTTAGATGATTGTCATGCCCTTCAAGAAGACCTGGACAAAATAAGTATATGGAGCACCACTTGGCAAATGGAATTTAATGTTAATAAATGTCATGTTATGGAATGTGGAATAGGAGAACATAGACCCCACACAACCTATATATTATGTGAGAACTCTTTAAAGAATTCTGATAAAGAAAGAGATCTAGGAGTGGTTCTGGATAGAAAACTATCACCTGAGGACCACATAAAGAATATTGTGCAAGGAGCCTATGCAATGCTTTCTAACTTCAGAATTACATTTAAATACATGGATGGCGATATACTAAAGAAATTGTTCATGACTTTTGTTAGGCCAAAGCTAGAATATGCAGCTGTTGTGTGGTGCCCATATCTTAAGAAGCACATCAACAAACTGGAAAAGGTGCAAAGACATGCTACTAAGTGGCTCCCAGAACTGAAGGGAAGAGCTACGAGGAGAGGTTAGAAGCATTAAATATGCCAAAACTAGAAGACAGAAGAAAAAGAGGTGATATGATCACTACGTACAAAATAGTAACAGGAATTGATAAAATCGACAGGGAAGACTTCCTGAGACCTGGAACTTCAAGAACAAGAGGTCATAGATTTAAACTAGCTAAACACAGATGCCGAAGAAATATAAGAAAATTCACCTTCGCAAATAGAGTGGTAGACGGTTGGAACAAGTTAAGTGAGAAGGTGGTGGAGGCCAAGACCGTCAGTAGTTTCAAAGCGTTATATGACAAAGAGTGCTGGGAAGACGGGACACCACGAGCGTAGCTCTCATCCTGTAACTACACTTAGGTAATTACACTTAGGTAATTACAGTTGAACCAGGAAGATGCTAACCTCTGGGAGTAGGCGGCATATATTGGTTTGGTCAAGAATATTACAGAGTAGCCAACACGGTCAGCAGACTTGTATCTATCTGTGAACAGGACAATGGAGAGTGAGTGCAAAGAAAAGTGTTCAAGGAAAAGGTGTTCATAATAATAGGACGGGTACTGGCATCAGTCAAAGTGCATGGAGTTCCTGCCTACCGGGGACCATGAGCCAGAACCTGGCCCCCCCCTCCCCCAGAGAGGTACGAGGAGCAATGGCTTATAGAAACCCCTGTTTGGTTGAAAGCATTCTTTCATATATTTCACATTCTTTCTATTGACATAGCTCGAGTGCATGGGGGGAGTTGTGTAAAACCCTGGTTTGAGCCTCGGAGAGGCTGCAGGATCCAGTAAGTTCAGTAGAACTTCGGTTTCAACTCCTTTTGACCATGTCGTAGCTCAGTCGATTATGGCAGCGTCTGGGATGCTCTTGGACGCAGGTTGGAATCCTTGTTACAGCCCTTGTGGATTTGTTCATTTGATGCATCACGCAATTGTGATTTCTGTGTGTAATGTCATGCTCGTTTTTCTTCTTGGGGAGTTCTATCCACTTGTTTCAGCTTTGGTACCAATTCTTAACCAGAATGAGTGGGGAGGGGGCGTTTTGGGGTGCCTATCTTTCTGGGTGCCTGACCTGGTGGTCGATGGCAGACAGAGTACTTCTTAAATTATATATAATGTGTGTCTATAGGCCATTATTCCTCGCGCCTCTCTGAGGGAGCGATGTTCTTGTTCATGGTACCTGGTAGGCCTAGAACTCCATGTACACTGAATAATGCCCAAAGCTAATGCCAATCAGCCCAGATAGCTCCAGGGAGCTGAAGAGGCTCCCCCAGAAATATACATACTGTAAATTGAATCGGGTTGCAAATGTTGTCCAAGCAGCTGTTTCTTGTTTTGCTCTGCCTTTCTGGTGGTGTTTTCCCTGTATAATTATTATGGTGGTCTAGTACCCCAAACTCCCCTTGCTTCCATTGAAGGGGGCCAGATTTTGGTACTGGTGTCTGGTAGGTACTCGTGGTTCGATAGAGCCTGGAGTGGTACTTGGGTTTGGAGAATTCTGGAGCTTGGGGAGATATAAGTAGAAGCTCTCTCAAAGGATGGACATTGGAGGGATATGGAATTAAAAAAAAATTCAAATGTACATAACAAAATATGTAGAGTATTCTACCACTCTGTTTGCAAAAGATAATTTTGTTATATTTCTTTGGCACCTTTGCTTAGTCAGCTTAAATCTATGACTTCTTGTTCTTGAAGTACTAGATCTCATGAATTCTTCCCTATCATTTTTGTCGATTCCCATTACAATTTTGTACATAGTGATCATATCGCCACTTTTTCTTCTATCATCTAGTTTTGGCATATTTAATACCTCTTAATTTAATGTTTAAACATATTTAATGTTTGCTGGTGATGGTATATTTAATACCATCACCAACAAACATGTTCATATAATTCTGTATTCCTTTTGGTAAATTATTTATGAAGACAATGAACATTACTGGTACAAGAACTCAACCCTGTGGGACTCCACTCATGACATTTCTCCAATCTTGCCTCTGATTACTGTGCTCATTTTTCTGTCTGAAAATTTTTCATCAATATTAGAAGCCTGAGAACCTGTCAAGTGTGACAGTCTAGCCTGACTGTCGCTCAAACAATCTGTCTCAGATTCTTTTTCTAGCCTGACAGTGTGTTTAGCTTGACAGCCTGTCTAGCCTGACAATCTGTCTAGACCCTGTTTGTCTAGCCTGACAATCTGTCTAGACCCAGTTTGTTTAGCATGACACTGTCTAGACCCAGTTTATCTAGCTTGACAATTGTCTAGCCTAATGGCCTGATGGACAATCTAACCTGACCCCTGCGTGTCTAACCTGACTGCATGTCCAGACTTCCAACCTGTCTAACCTGAAAGTATGTCAAGTGTGACAGCACGTCTAGCCTGGCAGTATGTCTACCCCTGTCTAACCTAACAGTTTGTCTAGGCTGACACTTGTCTAGCCTGATGGCCTGTTTAGCCTGTATAGACTGACAGTTTGTCTAGCTTGACATTCTGTCTAGCCTAATGAGGTACCTCAGATGGTGAAATACTTGTACTACTCCCGCACTCCACTTTATCACACATTTTTATTCAAACTGTTCCCCTCACCTCACCAGTTTATCCCACATTATTACTCAGACAAACCCGAAACAAATAACAGACACATCCGGATAAGAGGTGTCTGGAAAGCACGTGGTTGTCTGTGAGTGTATTATATATGCCGAACAACCACAATGAAAAGGTGAGAAATGCTAAAGCGCTTTCAGCCTGGCAGAGCCGTCTTTAGTAACAGGATTGTCATCCCTGTTACTGAAGATGGCTCTGTTGGGTTGAACGTGCTTTAGCATTCTCCAATTTTTCATTGTGGTTGTTCTGCATTAATGTGATCAGTGTCATAAATCATTTCATGCATATATATATATATATATATATATATATATATATATATATATACACACCTCTTTTCCTTTACTCAGTGCATTAAATTACTACATTCTCAGATTACAAAGTACTGTAAAGTTACTGCCAAGATGATAGAGATGTGCTGCTTCTTAACTTACTGCATGTAGGCAGATATTTTGTCCATGTGAATAGCATGATTTTAAGGGCATAATATAACATGACTAACACCAAGATGAAAAACCATGGCATAAAATACTTTTAAAGGACCTCAATTGAGTAATAATGACTGATTGTGCAGAGACAATTTTTGTTTTATATTTATGTAGTTTCTCCTGAGTGAAATCTCCTGTGTCACCAAAGCAGGTGGGTGCGGTGTGGGTGGATTGAGGTATAGGTGGGCAAATAGGCATTGCTGTGGGCGGGCAGGTGAGGGTTATTTTGTGTGTGTAGATGGTGGTTGATTTGGGAAGTGGACAGGTGGCCGTTGCTTTGGGTGGTGGGCGGATGCTGGTTGCTTAGGCTAGTGGATGGGTGGGTGTTGCTTTGGGTGGTGGATAGGTGGCTGGTTTGAGTGGTGGGTGGGTGGGTACTGTTCTGGGTGGTGGGTGGGTGAGGGTTATTTTGGGTGAGCATGTGGGGGCTGTTCTGGGTAGGCAAGTGGTTGCTGGTATGAACAGGCAGGTGTGTAGTAGTGTTTGGATTGTTGTGGGTTGGTGGGTGTTGTATATTGTGGGTGGAGAGGTGGGGAGATGTGGGTGGATGCTGTGCAAGAGTCGATGTTGTGTGACAGGATGTCATGAGTAAGTGGGTGGAATGAGATGTGTGTAGTTGGATGGGTGGTGTTTGTGGGTGCGTGCTATTTGAGTCAGCTGAGTGTGGGTATGTAGGGGAGTGTGGGTATGTAGGGGAGTGTGGGTATGTAGGGGAGTGTGGGTATGTAGGAGACTGTGGATAAGCAGGGGAGTGAGGGTATGTAGGAGATTGAGGATATGTAGGGGAGTGTGGGTATACTGGTGAGTGTGGGTATGTAGGAGACTGTGTGTATCTGGGAGAGTGTGGGTATGTAGGAGATTGTGTGTATGTAGGAGAGTGAGGGTATGTAGGAGAGTGTGGGTATGTAGGAGAGTGGGGGTGTGGGGGTGTGGGTACAGGATTAGGTGTTGATTTCTCTCCTATGTGAGATCTCTTGTGTGTAACCAAGGCATGTTTTTGTGAAAAGTATTTTAAACAATCTGAACATTGATAGGGCATCTCACCTGAGTGAGTTCTCTTGTGTGACACCAAAGCATGTTTATGAGAAAAGTATTTTGAACATTCTGAACACTGATATGGTGTCTCTCCAGTGTGGGTTCTCTTGTGCGACACCAAACCATGCTTTTGTGAAAAGTACTTTAAACACTCTGAACACTGATATGGTTTCTCTCCTGTGTGAGTTCTCTTGTGTCTCACCAAAGCATGGTTTTGTGAAAAGTATTTTAAACATACTGAACATTGGTATGGTGTCTCTCCCGTATGAGTTCGCATGTGAGACACTAAAGCTGATTTATACGAGAAGTCTTTTAAACACTCTGGACACCGATAGGGTTTTTCTCCAGTGTGAGTTCTCTTGTGTGCCACCAAGCCATGTTTCTGCGAAAAATATTTTAAGCAGTCTGAACACTGATATGGTTTCTCTCCTGTATGCGTTCTCTTGTGTTTTATTAAATCACATTTTTGAGAAAATTCTTTTAAGCATTCTAAACACTGATGTGGTTTCTCTCCTGTGTGAGTTCTCATGTGAGATACTAGAGCAGATTTTTCTATGAAGTGTTTAAAACATTCTGTGCACTGAAATGGTTTCTCTCCTGTGTGAATTCTTTTGTGTGTCATTAATACATGCTTTTGAGAAAAATATTTTAAACACTCTGAACACTGATATGGTGTTTCTCCTGTGTGAATTCTCATATGTGATACTAAAGCAGACTTATAAGCAAATTCTTTTGAGCACTCTGAACACTGATATGGTTTTTCCCCAGTGTGAGTTCTTTTGTGAGTTGCCAAACCATGTTTTTGGGAAAAGTATTTTAAACACTCTAAACACTGATAAGGTTTCTCTCCTGTGTGAGTTCTCTTGTGTTTAATCAAATCACATTTTTGTGCAAAGTTTTTTAAACACTCTGAACACTGATATGGTTTGATTCCTGTGTGAGATCTCATGTGTGATGCAAGATTAGATTTATCAGAGAAATGTTTTGAACACTCTGAACATTCATAAGGTTTTTCTCCTGTGTGAATTCTCTTGTGAGTCACCAATCTATGTTTTTGTGAAAAGTATTTTAAACATACTGAACACTGAAATGGTGTCTTTCCAGTGTGAGTTTTCATGTGTGATACTAGGGCAACTTTATCCAAGAATTCTTTTGAACACACTGAACATTGATACGGTTTTTCTCCAGTGTGAATTCGCTTGTGTGCAACTAAACCATGTTTTTGTGAAAAGCATTTCAAACAATCTGAACACTGATAAGGCTTTTCTCCTGTGTGAGTTCTCTTGTGTTTTACCAAATCGCATTTTTGTGAAAATTCTTTTAAACATTCTGAACACTGATATGGTTTATCTCCTGTGTGTGTTTTCATGTGTGATACTAGATCAGGTTTATCTGAGAACTCTTTTAAACACACTGAACAATTGTATGAATTTGCTTCTTTGTGAGAACCCATGTGTTTAATCAAACCAGACTTTTTTGATAAGTATTTTAAACACAATGAACATTGATACGGCTTTTCTCCTGTAAGCGTTCTCATACGCCACCAAGCTAAGTTTTTTTTTAGCCTTTTCAATACTCCAAGCATAGATATGGTTTCTCGTACCAGAGTTAACAAAATAATTTTTAGGTCTTTTAAACACTAAACACTTTTCTCTCAAATTTAACACTGATCTGACTTTCAGGTACAAACTTTGGTTTGCCTTCCTTCAGTTAACACATAATTTTTGCTAGGTAGTTGTTACTCTGTTTATTTTTGTACAAATAATTTTTACCCTATATAATCTTAAGAATTTGCTCAAAATGCTTACTTTCATTAAACTTAATTATTACAAGCCCTTAAAACTGTGTCTGATATGAATAGCCTTGTGTATTCTAAGTTCTTCCTCTTGCATAAAGTTCCACAAGACAATAGAAAACACGTTCATGAGACGAGACTCTTGGAACTAATTTCTTCAGATTGAACTTTCGTGTATTTCTACATGAAGAAAATTATTTTTAATGACAAATCTTCGAGACATTAAACATTGATATGAATTTACGTTACTGTACACTAGCATTTAATATTAAAAATTCAGGAAACAAAAAACAAATCTGAGATTGTTATTTCCAAAACAATGTTTACTTTCTGCTTGATGTCTTTACAACAGACTGTTTACTTTCTGCTTTATGTCTTTACAATAGTCAGTTTACTTTCTGCTTTATGTCTTTACAACAGTCTGTTTACTTTCTGCTTTATGTCTTTACAATAGTCAGTTTACTTTCTGCTTTATGTCTTTACAACAGTCTGTTTACTTTCTGCTTTATGTCTTTACAACAGTCTGTTTACTTTCTGCTTTATGTCTTTACAACAGTCTGTTTACTTTCTGCTTTATGTCTTTACAATAGTCAGTTTACTTTCTGCTTTATGTCTTTACAACAGTCTGTTTACTTTCTGCTTTATGTCTTTACAACAATTAAGAATACTGAACAATGATGCATTTCTTCTCATTTTTAAATGCTCTTAATTGTTCTGGAATAAAAGTATTTGTTAAATTTTATCATGTGCACTGAAGCTTGTACTTCTGTTAAATTATAAACATGTTCATGACAATAAATATATACAATATTTTGTCTGACAGTTACTACATGCACGTTCAAATTATATTTGACAATATCAAGTTGAACTTCAGATAAGAGATGTAAGAATTATAAATTATCCCAAGATTTTTTTTTAAGTGATTACTTAAATGCACTTTTTAATGTTAACTTGAGCAGTCAAAGCAATTCATGTAATTAACAAAGTTATCAAAGACATATCTTTAAAGTACTGATATGTTTTTTTATTAATTATATGGTATGCAACTATGTAGATGAGAGCATTCAATCAAATCTCAAAATTAAAAAATGTCAGATGTACACAGTAAAATAATATTTAAATATAAAATATTTGATTAGGAAAATATTACCAGTAAGTACAATTAATGTACCATGGAGCAGTAAGATGACGTAGAAATCAGAGGCGGGGGAAATATGATGGAGCAAAATGGCCTACTAAGAATTCTTTTACAACACCATATACAGTATTAGATTATGAGAAACCATATGTATGATACAGCACACATTCAGTTGTTTACTATGTTAATGCTTCAGTACAATGGCCACAAAATTAATGCATTCCAAAAAACCTTAACCAATAATTAACATCTAGAATACTTAATATCTCTGAATAGTTCATACTACCTTTGAATTTTAGTTCACAAATTAAGTTCACTTGCTGTTGATACATGAAATTATTCAGATGGCATACACAATACTTTAATGAGCAAAACTGAATATACTGGCTGCTGATGAGGTATGTGTTGTAGCCGGATGTTGAAGACTAAATATCTCTGACACTGCTTTATGACAATGCTCACACTCTAAATACCATATTTCCACCACTTACGTGAAATCTATGGCACTTGTGTTGACAGGGCATTACTGAATTATGGTAGTTCCTCTGGTGTACAGACGAGCTGCAAGATCTATGGCACCGGTGTACTGCAGTACTGTAGTATGGTAGTTCCTCTGGTGTACAGACGAGCTGCAAGATCTATGGCACCGGTGTACTGCAGTACTGTAGTATGGTAGTTCCTCTGGTGTACAGACAAGCTGCAAGATCTATGGCACCTGTGTACTGCAGTACTGTAGTATGGTAGTTCCTCTGGTGTACAGACGAGCTGCAAGATCTATGGCACCGGTGTACTGCAGTACTGTAGTATGGTAGTTCCTCTGGCGTACAGACGAGCTGCAAGATCTATGGCACCTGTGTACTGCAGTACTGTAGTATGGTAGTTCCTCTGGTGTACAGACGAGCTGCAAGACCTATGGCACCGGTGTACTGCAGTATTGTAGTATGGTAGTTCCTCTGGTGTACAGACGAGCTGCAAGATCTATGGCACCGGTGTACTGCAGTAATGTACTATGGTAGTTCCATTGGTGTACAGATAAGCTGCAAAAGGAGAGAGAGATTAACAACACTTATGCTTCAGACATACAGTTTTTACATTTTAAGGACACAAGGAATGAGTTCTGTAATACATTTAAGTAATATTAAGGGCACTAGGAATGTCATCTTCAATACATGCAAGTCATTTTAGGGGTAATATGTGCATATGTTATTATCTCTGGCCTCCCTGAGTTACGAACAACGAACTTTCAAACACCTGAACTTAGGAACCACCTGTCAATGTAAATTTCTGGCAGGGTTCCTATGGAGATGCCCTGTTGCTAACAACCTGGAGATCCCCACCCAATTTGATTGCATGAAGCTTTTGCAAGTTATTGTAAGCCTCTCAGGAACCATAGACCAGAGGTACAAGTAGCTGAGGATATGAGATCATCCAGAGTGAGAAAATGTCACCAGAAAGGTAGAGTTAGGCAATACAGATAACACCTAGTTAAACTACACAAAAAATTATCTGACCAGTCATGAAATGGTTCACAAGTTAGTAATGCTGTGCACCATCAGCATTAATGCTCATGTTCTTCAAATTATTCAGATACAGTGGTATCTCAGCTTACAAATTTAATCTGTTCCCAGAGACGATTCATAACCTGAAAATTTGTAAACTGAAGCGAATTTTTCCATAAAAAATAATGTAAATTGAATTAATCCATTCCACACCTGCTTGATACCTGCTTGATGGGGTTCTGGGAGTTCTTCTACTCCTCAAGCCCAGTCCGAGGCCAGGCACGACTTGTGACAGTTTGGTCCACCAGGCTGTTGCTTGGAGCGGCCCACAGGCCCACATACCCACCACAGCCCGGCTAATCCGGAACTTCTTTTAGAAAACAGTCTAGTTTTCTCTTGAAGATGTCCACGGTTGTTCTGGCAATATTTCTTATAGTAGCTGGGATGATGTTGAACAACAGCGGACCTCAGATGTTTATACAGTGTTCTCTGATTGTGCCTATGGCACCTCTGCTCTTCACTGGTTCTATCCTGCATTTTCTTCCATATCATTCACTCCAGTACGTTGTTATTTTACTGTGTAGATTTGGGACCTGGCCCTCCAGTATTTTCCATGTGTATATTATTTGGTATCTCTCTCGTCTCCTTTCTAGTGAGTACATTTGGAGAGCTTTGAGACGATCCCAATAATTTAGGTGCTTTATCGTGTCTATGCGTGCAGTATACATGTTCTCTGTATTCTCTCTATTTCAGCAATCTCTCCTGCTCTGAAGGGGAAAGTGAGTACTGAGCAGTACTCAAGATGGGACAACACAAGTGACTTGAAGAGTACAACCATTGTGAAGGAATCCCTTGATTTGAAAGTTCTCGTAATCCATCCTATCATTTTTCTGGCTGAAGGCAATATTTGCTTGGTTATGCTCCCTAAACGTTAGATCATCGAACATCATTACAGTGGTACCTCGGAATACGAGTGTCCCTGTATACGAGTTTTTTGGAATACGAGCAGGATTTCCTCGGAAAATGTGTCTCGGAAGGTGAGGGTTACCTCGGAAGGCGAGTTTGTTGATACGCATACAGGCCGACCTAGCGCGTGGTGGTACGGCGATCGTCGCCTCTCACCCCTCAGTTTACCAGTGCCTCGCACCCAGTGACTATCCCACGTCAATTCTGCACCCGGATTTTCAGTGTTTTCTTGGATTTTTGGTCATTAGATCATAAAAGTTGTTATTATATATCTTGCCATGGGTCCCAAGAAAGCAGTGGTAAGGTTTAACCTAAGAAAATAGTGCGGCTTTCGGGCGATCCAGTGGCAACACTGAAAAGTGTATATACTCTTTTCACTGTCCTGACATTAATTTTCGATTTACGTATTTCATTTTTGTACCAATATGTTCGCAATAGAATGTTCTATAAGAACATAAGTATAAAATGTCACACAAGCATGCGTTAGACCGGCACCAAATAAAAAACTACGTTGATTACACTTTGTGTGTCAACAATACAATGGTCTTACTTCGATGGTGCAATGCTATGTCGTTCTCCCAAATAGGCTATGCGACTATTAGAGAAAACGGAAACTTTATGGCGGACATTTTCAAACTATCCCAAAGTCGATCGCATAACAAATAGAGTTTATAGAAATATTTTTTCTCGTGACTCGTGAGCGAGTCCGCTGTGCGACCTCAACACAAAAAGTGGTAATGCTCTTGAGCGCCGTGATAGCACTAAAGTGTTAAGAAAATGTGTGAAGTATGGGAAGAATTGCAAAGTTTTGTTGAAAAAACTCGCCCAGATAAAGCTGTAGCAGGCTGTTGCATTGACCTTTTAACCCTTGCACTGCTCACCTATTTTCGGCAAAAACGTCTTGGTGCAATTGTCAAGGACATATTTTTGTTATTTTTACAAATGTTCGGGTAAATTTAATGTCAAAATGTTTCCAAAGTCAACTATTTCCATTTCAAAACACAAATAGTAATGAAAACATTAAAAAACATTAAAATATAGCCAAATTAAAAAACAAAAAGCACAACTCTCTGAGCGCCTAAAGGCGCTTTGCGCAGTGCAGTGGTTAAATGACAATGTGATGTCTTACTACAGACAAGTGTTAAAATGTTGGGAAAAACAAGTGTCTTTAGACAGATTCTTAGTAAGACAAGCAAGTCTTAGTGGTATGCAGGCAAAACGTGCCAGAGTGTGCACACCAGTGAAGTCCTCACTGCCTGATGTTATAATGGAAGGGGCCTCCCCTTCCAAACAGTAACAACTCTTCTTCTCCCTCCTCCTCACATCTTCCATACACCAACAGCAGTCATCAGCAAGGGTAAGTAATAACTTGAACATAGTTTTGTAGGTTTATTTAGATGAATTAGGTATAAAATTTAGTTTGAAGTGAGGTTTTTGGGGTAGTCAGGAACGGATTAATTCATTTCCCATTATTTCTTATGGGGAAATTAGCTTCGGAATACGAGTTTTCGGAATACGAGCTGTCTCCAGGAACGAATTAAACTCTTAAACCGAGGTACCACTGTATTCCCAAATCCTTGACAGGCTGTTTTCCTACTATGGGCAGATTCAATTGTGTTTTGTACCCTGTATTATGTTTCAGATCCTCATTTTTCCCGTACCTGAGTACCTGAAATTTATTACTGTTAAACATCATGTTATTTTCTGCTGCCCAATCAAAAACTTTGTTGATATCTGCTTATAATTTTTCAATGTCTTCAGCAGAGGTAAGTTTCATGCTGATTTTTTTTCTCATCTGCAAAGGATGACACGAAGTTGTGACGTGTATTTTTGTCTATATCTGATATGAGAATAAGGAACAGTAGTGGCGCAAGGATTGTATCTTGAGGTACAGAGCTTTTAACTACGCTTGGACTTGATTTTATATGATTGACTATTACTCTTTGTGTTTTGTTTGACAGGAAATTGAGTATACAGCGTCCTACTTTACCAGTTATTCCCATTGACCTCATTTTGTGTGTTATCACTCCATGGTCACATTTGTCGAATGCCTTTGCAAAGTCTGTGTATACAATATCTGCATTTTGCTTTTCTTCTAGAGCTTCTGTGATTTTGTCATAGTGGTTGAGTAACTGTGACAGACAGGATCTGCCTGCTCTAAATTCATGTTGTCCAGGATTGTGTAGCTCATTATTTTCCATAAAACTAGAAATTTGATTCCTAATCACTCTTTCAAATACTTTTATTATGTGTGATGTTAGTGGAACTGGTCTATAATTTTTTGCCAAGGCTTTACTACCCTCCCCTCCCTTGTGCAGAGGAGTTATAGCTGCAGATTTAAGTGCAGCTGGTATCTCCCCTGTATCCAGGCTCTTTCTCCATATTACGCTGAGTGCTCGCGCTACGGGTACTGTACATTTCTTTATGAATATTGAATTCCATGAGTCAGGTCCAGGAGCTGAGTGCATGAGCATATTGTCAATTTCTCTTTCAAAATCTTCCGAGTTCATGTTAATATCTGTTATATTATCTGCAGCTTGAATGTCATTCATAAAGAAGCTGTCTGGGTCATCAACTTTCATGTTGTTTATTGGTGTGCTAAACATAGCCTCATACTGGCTTCTTAAAATTTCACTAATCTCTTTGTTGTCCTCTGTGTACGTACCTTCATTTGTAATTAACGGTCCAATACTGATCGAGGTTTTTTATTCTGATTTTGCGTATGTGAAAAATATTTTGGATTTTTCGGTTTTTATTGTATAGCTTTCTGTTCCAATTCCATTTCCTCAGACTCATATGATCGCTTCAACGTTTGTTCTATTTCTTCGATCTCCCTGTTTAGGTTTATTTTCCTTTCTTGTGATAGTTGTGTCTGCCTGCATTTCCGTTATTTTTTCCTTCTCCTGTATAGTCGTCTGCGTTCTCTTTCTAGAGTGGTCCTGTTACGAACCCGACTCCATCGTCGGAGCATGGAGCAGCTACGTCAATGCCATCTGTGAGTCTGCTTCCTAAACCTCCACTAAATAGACGACGCCATCTGATGGTGGCAGTATGATACCTGCAACCGATGCTAGATTCCTGTCCTGGTCAGCCCGAAGAGTCGCTTTTGCTGACCTCTGGTGAGGTGGCACCTAGAAAATCAGTGCCATCTCTTGTGGGAGGAGGTGTATGTTAATGTCAGAGTCCATAAGTGGTATTTCCTAGTGTCCCCAGTACTGGCCAGTTTACTGATGACGTGTCTGTATCCACAGAGGCAACGTAGGGCTGCAGTGGTACGGAGACAAGCAGTCTACCCGGGGCAGCCTATTATCTCTCTACTCCATTCTGCTTTACGTGAGCAGTGAGCCGCCGCCGAAGAGGAACCAAGTAGTATCTGCTGTCTGCCTGTGAAGTGGCAGTGACAGAATTCGGCGTATCCCGGGACTGACTAGAGGAAGAGACGACCGACAGTGAGGTGCTACGGAGGAGTGTAACTAGCTAGTTGCAAGAAGCTCCTGCCAGGGGTTCGCTACCCTTGTATTTGTTCGTGTAGAGGCCCAGCAGCGTGTGGCTGATGTTCTCTGCCAGCACCA